CAACAATAATATGTATATCTACACTTAGCTACATACTGTAATACAACAATACGTATGTATATCTACACTTAGCTTGGGTACAAACTGTAATACAACAATACGTATGTATATCTACACTTAGCTTTGATACAAACTGTAATACAACAATAATATGTATATCTACACTTAGCTACATACTGTAATACAACAATACGTATGTATATCTACACTTAGCTTGGGTACAAACTGTAATACAACAATACGTATGTATATCTACACTTAGCTTTGATACAAACTGTAATACAACAATAATATGTATATCTACACTTAGCTACATACTGTAATACAACAATACGTATGTATATCTACACTTAGCTTGGGTACAAACTGTAATACAACAATACGTATGTATATCTACACTTAGCTTTGATACAAACTGTAATACAACAATAATATGTATATCTACACTTAGCTACATACTGTAATACAACAATACGTATGTATATCTACACTTAGCTTGGGTACAAACTGTAATACAACAATACGTATGTATATCTACACTTAGCTTTGATACAAACTGTAATACAACAATAATATGTATATCTACACTTAGCTACATACTGTAATACAACAATACGTATGTATATCTACACTTAGCTTGGGTACAAACTGTAATACAACAATACGTATGTATATCTACACTTAGCTTTGATACAAACTGTAATACAACAATAATATGTATATCTACACTTAGCTTTGGTACATACTGTAATACAACAATACGTATGTATATCTACACTTAGCTTTGGTACAAACTGTAATACAACAATACGTATGTATATCTACACTTAGCTTCGAACAAACTGTAACACAACTATAATATGTATATCTACACTTAGCTTTGATACAAACTGTAATGCAACAATAATATGTATATCTACACTTAGCTTTGATACATACTGTAATTCAACAATACGTATGTATATCTACACTTAGCTTTGATACAAACTGTAATGCAACAATAATATGTATATCTACACTTAGCTTTGATACAAACTGTAATGCAACAATAATATGTATATCTACACTTAGCTTTGGTACAAACTGTAATACAACAATACGTATGTATATCCACACTTAGCTTCGGTACATACTGTAATACAACAATACGTATGTATATCCACACTTAGCTTCGGTACATACTGTAATACATCAATACTATTTATCTGCACTTAGCTTGGGTACATACTGTAATACAACAATACTTATGTATATCTGCACTTAGCTTTGGTACAAACTGTAATACAACAATACGTATGTATATCTCCCCTTAGCTTGGGTACAAACTGTAATACAACAATAATATGTATATCTACACTTAGCTTTGATACATTCTGTAATACAACAATACGTATGTATATCTGCACTTAGCTTCGGTACATCTGCACTTAGCTTGAGTACATACTATAATACAACAATGGGTATGTATATCTAGAATTAGCTTTGGTACATACTGTAATACAACAATACGTATGTATATCCACACTTAGCTTCGGTACATACTGTAATACATCAATACTATTTATCTGCACTTAGCTTGGGTACATACTGTAAAACAACAATACTATGTATATCTACACTTAGCTTGGGTACAAACCGTAATACAACAATACGTATGTATATCTGCACTTAGCTTGGGTACATGCTGTAATACAACAATACGTCTATATATCTGCACTTAGCTTTGGTACATACTGTAATACAACAATACTATGTATATCTACACTTAGCTTGGGTACATACTGTATAACAACAATACATATGTATATCTACACTTAGCTTTGGTACATGCTGTAATACAACAATACTATGTATATCTGCACTTAGCTTGAGTACATACTATAATACAACAATGGGTATGTATATCTACAATTAGCTTTGGTACATACTGTAATACAACAATACGTATGTATATCTGCACTTAGCTTGGGTACATACTGAAATACAACAATACTATGTATATCTGCACTTAGCTTGGGTACATGATGTAATACAACAATACGTCTATATATCTGCACTTAGCTTTGGTACAGACTGTAATACAACAATCCATATGTATATCTACACTTAGCTTGGGTACATACTGTATAACAACAATACATATGTATATCTACAATTAGCTTTGGTACATACTGTAATACAACAATTCGTATGTATATCTGCACTTAGCTTCGGTACATCTGCACTTAGCTTGAGTACATACTATAATACAACAATGGGTATGTATATCTGCACTTAGCTTGGGTACATACTGTAATACAACAAAGGGGATGTATATCTGCACTTAGCTTGGGTACATGATGTAATACAACAATACGTCTATATATCTGCTCTTAGCTTTGGTACATACTGTAATACAACAATACTATGTATCTGCACTTAGCTTTGGTACATACTGTAATACAACAATTCGTATGTATATCTGCACTTAGCTTGGGTACATACTGTAAAACAACAATACTATGTATATCTACACTTAGCTTGGGTACTTACTATAATAGAACAATACGTTTGTATATCTGCACTTAGCTTCGGTACATACTTTTGTACAACAATACTATGTATATCTGCACTAAGCTTTGGTACACACTGTAATACAACAATACGTATGTTTATCTACACGTAGCTTCGGTACATACTGTAATACAACAATTTTATGTATATCTACACTTAGCTTGGGTACATACTGTATAACAACAATACATATGTATATCTACACTTATCTTTGGTACATGCTGTAATACAACAATACTATTTATATCTGCACTTAGCTTGAGTACATACTATAATACAACAATGGGTATGTATATCTACAATTAGCTCTGGTACATACTGTAATACAACAATACGTATGTATAACTGCACTTAGCTTCGGTACATACTGTTGTACAACAATACTATGTATATCTGCACTAAGCTTTGGTACACACTGTAATACAACAATACGTATGTTTATCTACACGTAGCTTCGGTACATACTGTAATACAACAATGGGTATGTATATCTGCACTTAGCTTGGGTACATACTGTAATACAACAATACGTATGTATATCCACACTTAGGTTCGGCACAGGTGAATAAACAAAGTGACACTTATTGTACATAACGGTTGTTAATGGTCAGACATGGCCATCGCCTTCGGGCTCAAGTTGACCTCCATAGCCATCGTCGGCATGGACACATGTAGGTCGCACTGAGAGATGGCCAGTGAGTGACCAACATGATGACATTTGTTCACTATACTAAACTGACCAACGGTCTTCACATTCATGCATTGTTTTGCTAAAATCCTCATCTAGTGTCTCGTAAGCCTCAGTATCGGTTGGGTGTCAATCATATATTGTTGTACATTTAAGACCATGCTTGTACGTATGTATTTTAAGCAAAATTGACATGTGACACTTAAATAAAATAATTTGTATTGTATTGTATTGTTTATCAGTCTATATTCAGTAAAGGAACATTTATAATGTTCTTGTTTACTTGTGCCCAATCCTTTTGCTTTATTTTTGGTTATAACTAAACATCTTTGTTCCTGATTTTTGTATAGGATACAAATGTCTTTTTACCATACATTGCGAAAATTTCACGAACAAGTATTAAATATGAAATTAACAAAATATCACCAACAACCGTGTTCTTAGAGTGAAAAAGTCGATGGAGATCGACCGGGATTCAAACCCTGGACTTCAGATTGTTATACTATCGCTCTAACCGACTGAGCTATCCGGTCAGTGTCCTGGCCTAACTGTGCTACAGTCATACCATTAACGAAGTCAAGGGGAGGTTACTGTATAAACAAAACTAGGGTGTCATGGTATAGAGACCTTAACCACACTTAGTATGACACTAATGGGGAATGTAAAACTGAAGCATATTTGGTATGACATTGGCGGTGAACGCTAAACTGAAACATTTACATGTATAACATTACATCAGCGGTGGACGCTAAACTTAAACATACTTTGTATGAACACAATGGTAAGCGCTAAACTTAAACATACTTTGTATTAACTCAATGGTAAACGCTTAACTTAAACATACTTTAATTTGTATACACTCAATAGTAAGCGCTAAACTTAAACATACACTCTTTGTATTAAAGAAATGGTAATTGAATCAATGGTTAAAGTTCAACATGATTGACTTAAATATACTTTGTATGATATCAAAGATAAACGTTTAAATTAACACACGGAATAAGGCTGATGGCGACAAAGCTTATCAACACATTTTCACTATCTTACGTTTCTGATGGGCGTTTGTTCAATAACACATTGATTATAATAGCAGATTGTGTGATACGAGAATTTTGATTGACGTCCTGACACAGAGATGATAACTGTTCCGAACGGGGGCCATCTTACCAAACAATAAAATCCAGGTTTATGATATAAATACACCCACGGTACCTGTCCAGCTCTACGTCTGTCAGCTTCTGTATGTATCTCTATGTATCACACAGACAGGTAGTGTAGCTCTTTTACCTGTGGTATTAATTATCTCAGGTCATCTGTTATCATCACACTAATCATCTTACTAATTCTTTCATGAATCGTTTTAACTAAATATATTTGTCGAGAAGGTATAACGTCATGGGTATGTCATTTATTCAAAAAAAAAACCGACATCAACTCCAGTATTTATTTCCAAATCAATATAAATCTTGAAATTGAATAATATTACGCGTATTATGATAGAGAACCATGACTCTTTCTGAGTCACGTAGTGTGTATTGTACTGAGCCAACAAACCTATCAGAAGGGAGGCAACTCTTACAACTCACGACAAAGTCGCCTAAAAGCTCATCAAAGAACATGAAAATGTTCTGCCTAAATTATTACATGTGCCTTGATGACATGTTTTATTTGTTTGTTGTTTTTCAGCGACATTAGATAAAAAAAAAAACACCCCAAAAAAACAGAATTCAAACATTTAACATGATCACTGATATCTTACCTTAGGTTCTCGATTTGTCACACGCACGTCTTCGTTGACTACCATCAACCCCTCGTTGTTTGGACCAGGGATATCCCCACTGACGTCACTTTCTCGTCGTTTCCGGTAACCTCTCAGTTTGGCGCGCACCAAGTTAAACAAATAGTTCCGGTCTTTCTGCCAAACTTCCTTTAAAGCAGGATCATGTTCGGGGAAGTCATCGACAGGTAGTCCAAAGGAGTTCTTGCTCGGCATTATTGGTAACGAGGATAAACCCCATTCCTCTGCTGATGACGAGAAATCTGCGTCAGTACCAGATAGTTCTCTGTCGCCATTTGTGCGACCATTGGGGAGCGAAGTTCGTATGTCGTCCTTTGTCGACGGACTATTTTCACTTGATCTAAATTTGATTTTTGGTGGTGCTGATGTTGCTTTTGCTGCTCGTGAATGGGATGATGACGTAATTGATGACGTATTACTGTATCCGTCTATGTGTTCGTAATCACGTAATAACTTTGATTCGGCCTTGCACTTATCTACTTTGTCCACTTTTACCTTGCTAGCCTCCATCTGTAAACATTGAAGCCAATTCGAGAGCTCGGTGTTGTCGACGGCATTGAAATAAACACTTTTCCGGTTCTGATGGGAGACTTTGAACACATAAGATTTTTTGAATCTTTTCTCTTGATCTGGCATATATTCCACCTTTGAATTATTTAGAACAACTGCCACTGTTGCGGATTCATCCGGCGCCATCGACTTAAACCCGAACATACACCCTCTACAAACAACGCACCACAGTTTATGCCATTTAAGAAGGTATTTCTGCTGTAAATACCCACTCATACGTATCTCCTGGAGATCCTTCAGGATCACCGGAATTTCTGGCTTGTTGCGTTTTAGTTTGTCCTTTAAATCCGAAGCAGTTCTCATAATGCCCTTACTCAATCCCTTTTCAGATTTGCCAAAGTCAAGTGACCGGGATAGCTTCCGACTCTGTGGCCGACCGAGGCCCGTATTGGGCCCGGAATCGATCAAACCTGCAGCAACAAAGTCTATAGAAGAGGAGAGAGACGACGCACCATCATTGTCGTCTAATGAATTCGAATCTGTGGAATCGGTGTCTTTTGGAGACTTCTTTTTAAACAAACTATCTAAACTACCGAATGATCTGAGTTTCCTGAAGGTACTAGATTTCTTTTGTTTAGGCGACGACTTTTGAAAGTGAGTTGCCTTCACCGGCAGCGTTTTCACTATCTCTGGTTCCGTATCCCGGCGCAACCGTCTTCGGAAGTCTCCAAGTGAGTCTTTTGGAGGCGATGTCCCGGCGATCGGACTCGAAGTTTCCCGTTCAGGGCTTGGTAAAGTTTCTGCACCCGCAACTGGTACACCGTCCGTAAACGATTCTGACTTTACCAACTTAGATGTACGGACAGAGGTTCTGGCGGATGGAGCATATTTGGGCGTGACATGAGTCTGTGCCTCCCCCTTCAGGATAGGGACGGGCCCACTAACGGAGTGACGCCTTGGACCGTTGGATGCATCGGTTTGTGCATCATTCTCCAAGTTTGAGGCTGGTTTGAGATACGCCATCCAGCAAAGTAGGTCGGATTTCTTCTGCACGCTGAACAGGTATTTCTTGTGAGTGCCCGAGTCATCCAAAATTATTTGGTACTTGTCCAAACCGGATATCGTCTTGGACGCAGCTTGGTTGGGTTTTGTTGCCGCTGAGCTGTATACAAGGGATCGAACGGAACATCCGGGCAACAACACGACGGCCTGGGGACGTTCTGACGTCTTGCTCTCGAATATACAGAACAACATATCTGCAACGACGCACCACACTGTCCTGTGGAGGAAAAGTAGACGATGATTTGAAATAATTTAAGCATCTTTATTATTTAGTTGACATACTAATACAATTTGAACGACATTGACGTAACATTTAAAAAGATAATATCATCACGTCAAAGCAAGAAACGACTCATAATCGAATCGTACCCGCTCCTAAAAATTTTGACTACTATACTGTTATAGTGGATCAGTGGTAAACTGCATGACAAGAAATATTGCATCTAGGACATTTGAAACACAAATCAAAACATACATGGCTTAATCAATCTGCCTACAAACAGTTGTCAATGACGTCATTCCTTTCTGAATTTTTACTGCCCTAATATGATTTCAGAAAGGGGATGCCTGGAGATAAGGAATGACATTACACTGTCAAAACTAAGATAACTATATCTAACATAACACAAACTACATTGCATTAAAGCGGCGTTGCCAGCCACCATTTTCCCGTTTGATCAGCCAAAACGATAATACACTTAAGCATGCCCTATGGATTGTCTTACTTGTGGTTGCCTTGGTCAAATAACCAGGCGGCATGTTCTGGCTGGTCGATGTCCGCCATCGTCAAGTCCTTCAGCCTCTCAACCATACTGGATATCCCATTCGTCTTTGAGATATCTTTTCTAATGTTCGGTCCAAGTGAGTGACCTTGGGCCATTCTGATCTTCATCTGCTGGAACTGCTCTACCGTGAACACGGAAAGGTCAAGGTCATTGTCGCTCGACGCCTGAAAAACATCAATTACGGAACATTTTCAGAAATATGAGTCTTGATAATGACAGTAGTAAATCGGCTACTTTTCAGGTCAATCGTCCCTTATGAACAGCTTTTGTAGGAAATCTTAACGGAGAAGTGAGTAAACATATTAATATAACTATCTATATAACAATAAAAAGAACGACCATATATCAAGTCGTTTACCACTTCAGCATACAAAAATCTATGTATTGATGTTTGGGTACAGACGGATCAATCCACTATAACATTAGACACAATGTCAGTTTGATATCTTTAATTCATATTTTGAATTGTAATCAGCTAGGAGTCATATTATAAATATATTTAGACGATAAATTGAGTTCGACTGGTAGTACCTAAATGATAAGACTGGCATTCCCAAATAGAGAGGCCGCGGTTAACGATCAAGACATACACAAGCACACCAAGCATGAAGTGGCTTCCGTCTACTTTCACTTTTATCATGTCAGAACAACTATCAAATACACGTTAAATCTCTATTGATAGAACACACAAAGGACGTTGATTTTATTTATTCTGCACTTATAGACTCTTGAATTATCTCGCCCAAAACAACGTCAATATGTACTAGTGCCGAACAATAGCGACAGATCTACTGTAGATATGATGGTGAGATCGGACAATCCACCCTATCAATTCTCGTACTTGTGTAACTTTCGTTAAGATTACTAATTTCACGGTGTGGGGTCGCTCGTCTACAAAGATTAACGATCATGATACGCTATCATTGGGCAAAAAAATCTCTAGAAATACGACGTAGTATAAGAAAATTGTAATTGATTTGTCGCTCTAGAGGACAGGTAAGGGGTTAAAGCAATGATTAAGATACAAGACTAAATGTTCGCGTAAATTCATCATTTATATGATTGTTTATCCAAGGGAATCATTTTTGTCGATTGAGCGGTACCGCATTGACCTCTACAGCATGCTACTATAAGATTAGGGTTATACGTCTTTTATTTGTACTTATAAATAAACCTCCACCGTGGAACATACATTTTGACTTAAAGACAAAATTTAAATGTCAAATATTTGAAATATCTGTTCAAGAATTCCGAAATTTAAAATTCAAGTCATGCCTTTTAAATATTTGAAAGGACTTCATCCCTTGTTATGTTGAACGCCATTTGGAGGTTTTGGTTACTCTTTAAGATTGAGTGAGATTCGATGTGTTGGCTGTGGATCTCTAATTTACAGTACATACATATAATACCACAGATAACAATCGGATCTAGCATGGATAACCGTGCTTTCTTTTCGAACAATAAAAACCTGTAGTATTACATTTCCCGACACCGGGTTACATTCCGCGTCGCAGGTAGCAGACACATTGTGTGGGAATCGGATCACATCCGGATATAAAATGACGATAAAACATCTATACTCATACACAAATAATACAGGACTGCCATTAGGGTAAAATGCAAACGAACAACAGTAAACTCAGGACGAAAAAGGTAAACTCGAACAAAAACTGCATCTGACATATATAGCATCAACAAAAAATCAATCGCGTAAACAAACAAGGGCAAAGTCATGTCGCCTCAAAACAAATGAAACTAAAACCGTTCTTATGGATTTAACTGGTGAAGAGGATAGCTGATTATATTACTGTTACTAACGTAAGATTCCTAAACTGGTCAGGTGATGTTCATACACCGCCTCCCACAGGGGATCAGACGTATCAGATCTCATGATGTGCTGTCACTATCTCAGGAATGCCTCCCAAAAAGACTAATATTACTACATGTATGCAGCTAATGATGTGATTTCCACCTTGATTCTCTTTTTAATGTTTTGAACAGGACTCTGCCATGTTAATATCATTTATGTCATAGTTCTATTTTTCCTGGTCGTGGTTTAGTTTTCAAATCAAATTTAAAGTTTCGATGAAAATCGGGAGAAAGTTGATTAATTGTGTTCCTGTGTGTTTATATTTGTTTTTAGAGAAATAAGTTGACACAACAAAACAGTAAATTACCAGACTTACTTATTACAGATATCCTATCCATTCGGTGCAGGCCTTTAACCAGTGCTTTAATAAATCCCTTTAAAGTCAAATACGTTTAGGAGCTGCGGTTTCTGTTTACCATTAGTTAACCCGCAAGCCTTACTTTTGACCCGTACGTACAGCTAGGTGTGTATCTATATCACGGGGATTACTGTAGATTAAAGTCTTATATTGTACTTGTGTAAACCCTAATTGATCCTGACTCTAGCGTGTCGTGCGAGTTCCGTGCCTGCTAGGAGTCAATGTTCTTAACGCTCAAAACAGTACAGAGAGCTATAGCCTCCTCATCTACTGAAATCAACGTACTCGACGTTGAATATAATAGGGAAATCACAAAATGGCCACGTTTACAGACAGCAACGTACTCGACGTCAAATAGCATAGGTAAATCACAAAATGTCCACGTTTACAGACAGCAACGTACTCGACGTCAAATAGCATAGGTAAATCACAAAATTTCCACGTTTACAGACAGCAACGTACTCGACGTCAAATAGCATAAGTAAATCACAAAATTTCCACGTTTACAGACATTAAACTATCTTAAAGTCTCCATTACATGTATTAATTCTGAACGCCAGTCTATTCTATCCATATATAACAGCCTAAACACCTGAAAATACTAACAATATACTTCAAAAGTAAACTGTAATTCGTCTCAATTTGGGCTACATACTTTCGGTATCATAGGATTATTGGATACCCTCTATATCCAGTATTCCCGTAGAAATGTACCAAATACAAGTTCAATATGTGATGCAACTATGAACCGTTCCCACGTATCAACATGTTTAAAGACTTTCATATTGCCTATTAATAAACTGCAAGGCCAAAAACTAGTAATATGAGGAGTACTCCTAGAAAACACGAAAAATAACATACAAAAGCAAGCAGCTAGAACTAGGAGTAATGGCATTTTTACAGCTTTTCCCAGTGAAACTTTAAACTTTAACTTCAAATACAGCTAAATCTAGGCTTTCTCGCTTTGGTTTTTTCATTTGAAACTTAATGAGATATTCCCATCAGTCACAGAATGTTCTGGCTTTACACCGACTCGAGATCGGGGTATGCTCTTGCCAGGGCTGTCATTAGTGTAAACTGTATCACAGGTAAAACAGACAATAACCTTGAGGAAGGAAACACAATATTACAAGAATACAAAGAAATGCTTAAATGCTATCAAAATCATTTCAAATTAATGTCTTAAACAGTTGAAATAGATATGTAGACGATTATTTTAATTGCCCCGTTAACGACTGAGTGTCTCAAGTTACTTTTTACATTACAAGAATCCCCAGAATACAATCTGATAGACGCGAATACGTATATTAAGAGCCCTTTTATGCTTTCGAAAGAAATTAATAAGTTTTAAGCAAAGTCATCTGATATCAGTTATATTCATTGACTGTTTAAGCGGGGTTAAATTCATCACAACATTTTTGTGAGATCGCTTACCAACAGTCATACTGACATATTATGAATCAAAGTGACTCAAAATATTGAGGCCAATACAAAGACGCAAATTCAGCACTAATACGTAATAATAGGAATCGAGAAAACAGCAAACAAACGGTAAGAACCATGACAAAACTGAATCACAAAGTTGATAAAAAAGGGATATGATTCGAGCAAATACGAAAACAAACGGAAAGGAAAGACACAATATTTCCCCAATAACGAGGGTGTGCCAATAGTCTTTCAGAGCAGTAGGCATTTCTGTTGAAAGAGTCGGGGAGGATAATCGTATCTTGGTACTAGCTAGTGTACATACATGATGATGGGTTGTGCGATCAATAAATACATATCAATTACACTATTTAATAAATCATACGCAATCCGTTGTATTATATATATTTTTATTACATACTTACTTATAAATACGGGTTTTTTGTATATGCGATACGACACAATTGCTCTTACCTATATCAGCCCTCGCCGTTTCACACCCCAAAAGCTGTATCAGCCCCCGCCGTTTCACACCCAAAAACCCGTATCAGCCCGCAAAACCCGTATCACACCCCTTTTGGATTTTTTCGTTTTTTAATATTTCAAAAGAAAATTTTATCATCAGTAGCTTTTATAAGTAAGTATGTAATAAACAGAATAAAACATGACTTTTTCCATATCACACCCAGTATCAACCCTCGACTAATATCAGCCCACGACTAATATCAGCCTTCGGCCCTTGGGCTGATATTGCAGTCTCGGGTTGATACTGGGTGTGATATGGAAAAAGGCATGTATTATTCTCTATATATTAAAAAGACATAACAAGAAATACATACTGTATTGTAGTATTACTGCCCGAGGGTTGATATTAGTCTCGTGTTGATACTGGGTGTGATATGGAAAAAGGCATGTATTATTCTCTATATATTAAAAAGACATAACAAGAAATATATACTGTATTGTAGTATAACTACAGAAAGTAAGCTGCAGACAATGTACTGACACATGTATAACGTATGATAATGTTCAGAAATCAAAGTACCAGCATAACACATCATCACCCCAGATTTAACCGGTTTACAATTTACAACAGTAAACAAAATATCATTGTAGCAGTTATAAAGACTTAATCAAAGTAACAGCAAAAACAGGCAACTACCATTCAGTTTTCAGAATTGCAATAAAGCCTTCTTTTATAAAAACAAAAACAATAAAACCCTGAGATAATAACTTTATAATTGTGATTAAAACCGCATGTTTCTTGGCCAACAGTCACAATTTCAAGTCTTTTCCTTCTTCTAGCAAAATGTAAAAAAGAATACTCTTAATCAGTTTCTTGTCCTGTCCTCATACTATGTTTTTCTTGCCTCATTCGGATTATTTTCTGCATAAGTGACTTTACCAACCGACACCTTTTCTAGTTCTTTCTTATAACATCAATATTTGTTAAATAATAACTAACCTCTGTCGGAATATTTCCTGCACATGTGACTACAATAAACGACACT